ACTTCATTATCTTAATACAAGAAACTGCCATGGCCTCAGTGCTAGTATCCACCAGGTCATAGTGTTGTCCTAGTCCCCACAAAGTGCCTGTAAGGAGGGCACTGCAGATGGGACAATGAGACAGAAGATCCCAAAGTGCCGTTAGACCCATGGTCCCCAGACCATGCTGCCGTGCTAACTGCAAAACCACTTTTCACATAAAGCCAATATACTAACACAGGATTTTCTTCAAAAGTTTGTTCTGGAGACTTCGTATTTATCATGCATTTCAAATTGCTAAGTGAGAAAGCCCCATTATAAAAGCAGAGGTGATATATACGTTTGAAAGCAGAAATGACACTGACTATCTGTTACAGTCCAAAAGTTTTCTTTCTGATATCAGTGCAACTTTTCAGTAAGATGGAGAGATTTAACATGTAGAAATTTAACAGCGTTTGAGTGCCCAGACCTTTATTAAGGTCAGTGTTCAAACAGAATAAAAGAATGTCCCTAATACAAAAAGTGTGGATTAAATACAGAGAAAAGGATTGCAGGGATATAACGTTGCTGATACATTTTGTAGATTTTTTGTAGAATGCTGTATAAGCAAGGGCTTTTCATTTAAGTTGCACCAAAAACAGGTATTAAAGGAGGACAATCAAAAAAACCATGGCGGATGAGAAGCAGCAAAATTAATGAACTTATTTACACTGCTAGACCAATCTCAGAACGAGACTGATACAGATAATCACGTAAATAAAAACTAGGCTAAAGCTTAGCTCAAAATTGCCTTTTAGGTGGTAAATGAAATTCATCTACAGCCTGTATAAAAGAATTTCACAGCCAGTGCTCTGTAACAGCTTTTTCTCAGGTGATCCCCAAACACTGGTTCCCAGCTCATGACCAAGGATTAGCACTGGTTGAATGAAATAATAAAATAAAGTATTCCCAATGTATTTGGGAGTTTAATGGCTTTTAGAAGATGTAGTTGCCTGTAGAGCTTTTAGAGCATCAGAAGAACTCTTTCCCCAACACATTAGGCTCTTCTGCAAAGCGTAAAGACGACAACCTCTATCAAGAGCACATCTGCACTAGACAGTGTGGGCTGGATCAGCTACATTGTGAAAGAAAATTGGGAAGAAGCTCAAAGTACACAGTGATGTATTTGCCTACTGCAGTATGGTCCAACTATCAAATTACTGATACACTATTCTTTGTGATGTTTGCCACTATAAAGCAAATTTTGAAATTGGATTGTTTATTTAATATTACATGAAATTTTCCTTTAAAAAAACACTGTCCTATTAGCTGATGGGTAACATATATATGGCTGCTGCACCTAGGGAAAAGCATTTAGAATACAAAAATGGTGTTGACACAAAAGAAAGTACCGAAGGGAGTTCTTACAAATGAGAAACACACAGTGTCCTAATGTCTGTCACAACCAGGGAGGGTTGGTATGTGTAAGCCAGACTTACATAACTGGGGATATTTGGGGATATTTGGTCAAGCAAGAGTGCACATCACAATTTTTTTCTGGTTTCTCCAAACCACAGTCTCTGCCTAAGTAGTATCAAACAAAAATTCAAGCCAGGACATCAGTGAAAGCTTTTCTCCCCTTTTTTTCTGAGAAAATACTCTTTTTTCATCACAGTTCAGATGTTGTGAAGAATGACCTCACTGTTCAGTTGTCAGACAGTACTCGAAAATTTTATTTGCTTTTCAGTCTTAGGCACTTGTCTATATAAAGTGCCTATTAATGCCAATTCCTAGGTTAGTGGTAGTCTGTGTGAACTGATGGCAGTGAGGTATAAAAGTAATCTATTGTACAGGTTTTTCGCTGCGACTGAAATGCCTGGGTTATTTGCCATTACAGGATCTTACAATATTCATGGCAAAGAAATTGTGACTTATACAGAAATCCATTTTCAGGCACTTTTTCACTGACTTTCAGAAACTCTGCCTGCATAAATACTGTTGAATCAAGCCTAAGCTTGATACCACAATTTCAATTCCAGTTGGGTGCAACTTTTGCACCGAACTGAGAGATGCAGGCAAATACATCTCTTTCATTTATCCTATGGCTATTTCACAGCTCTCCAGCAGCATAGGGAGCCCCTGTGAAAACTGGCTCCAGAATATTTGTCAGGTCTCAAAGTTTTCATTTTATAGATGTAAAATCTCTCAAAAACATGCATCTGAATTTTGCAGTCTAACCTTACCACCATTCCTCACATGCATGATCCTTTCTTAGAAAAGAAAATATGTGTTCAGTGTGGGTCTCTACTCCTCCACCAACAGAAAAAAATCTGGAATTAACACAGTGTGTCCAATGAAAACATCATTTTATTCTGCATGAGTCTCCCTCTCCTATCTTTGCCAACCCCCTTATCTCTATACATTAGAGATCTATATCGTGGTATCTGTAAGAAGATTTTTCTGGGTGTCTGCAGGATTTCATATCCTTAAGGTGGAGACCATCAGCCTGAGCTTAATCACATTTATATTGGATACAAACCCAAAATCAAGGCTCCTGCCTTTGGTTTCTTGTGAAACAACATGCACTTAATGTACAAGAAAATAAATACTTGGTAAACCCATTCAGTTAGTACCAAGGACTAATTATTTCTATAAGTTTGCAGGATCAGACCCATTTTAGTGTTTTATAATATTTTACAGTTTCTGTTATTTTCAATACAAACCATCTGACTACATTATGCTAGTATATATGGTCATTAACAAGAATATACACATTGGTTAATCTATAGAAATATGAACACGTGCATAAACATATTTGCTTATGGATATTAATAAACCAAGAGCCAGCTTTATTTTAGGAACAAGGCTTTTTACTGGTGTACAGTGACACAGTTGGACATAATACTCACCAGCTAAACATTGCCAGATTTTGATTGTCCAAACTGAAGTGGAACAATATCTTATTAAAAAGGGAACCCAGTACTTGAAATTGCAAAAGGAGAAAAAGTTTATATAACTCTACAGTATACCTGTCTAATTTGGAATATACTTTTAGATCAAAGCTTGAAAAAAAATATATGCTTTTCTGGTGAAAATGAACTTTCTGAAGTTTTTGCTCTAGACTGTTGTGGAAAAAATTGAAAAAGAATACTTATAAGTTTTACATATTGTATAATCTCTGTGAAACACAGCATATTTATTTATCAATTTAATAACATTCTCTTTAATTCCAAAGTGAAATGGCATTTGGTAATGAAGTGACTGTAATTTTAAAACCCCTTTGGTTTTGGAGGTGCTATTGTGTATATATTTTTTTCCCCTTTTAAAGTATAATGCCTATACTGTTACTATGTCAAATTCAGATGAATCGTGACAAATAATATTTTCACAATGGGAAATGTTAACATGCTACATTCCTTTCTTTGGAAAAATAAAAGAAATTATCACAGAAAACACATTTTAATTTAATTATATCCTTTAGGTCATTAAAGTGATGTAATGTGCATGTCAGTCCTCTTTTCATCCACAGATTATTTTAATCCTTCATGTGCATTTTTTTTTTTCTTCTGGCTTTCTTTCATATTTGCTTTGTTTTGAAATTGCATGCTGTCTGGATTATTTGTGCATGACCTCCACATTAATTTCACATTGAATGTTGACATACTCTGAGAGATTTTCATGGATCATTTATTCTATGTGTGCATTTTTTTTTCCTTTGTTTTCAGTTACTGAACTTTAAATATGCTTGAAATGTAAAAGTGGCATGAAACTTTCGTGACACAAGTAGACAACTATTTTAGTAGAGATTTTCAGTACCTAACTTTACATCTTTCAGAAATACATATTCTAAACCACATTTTATGCTGTGCTTCCAAAATGTAAGAAAATGAATTATGTTCTGAAACTCTAAATATATTCCATTTCAGAATTGGAGCCAAATACTGGTTATATTTCATTCGAGCAATGACAAACACATGAGATATTAGTCCTTTAAATGAGCTAAGAAGGTCTCTGCTCTCTTGGAGGTGATCACTTGCAAAGTCGTGTAGGTATTGCATATGTTGAGTGTAGGAAACAGCGTAGGACATTGTCAGACCAACAGCACAGATCATTTCAGATAAGCACTATCTGCAGCTCAGCGTAGATGCCCTCTGGAAATGCCAGCTTCTCTCAATCGACTGTATAGGGACCCTAATTCCTCATGTAGTATCTGAAATAAATGTCCCAGCTAAGCATATCCTGCTTTTACATAGTACACTGCTATGAGCCCTTGTGACTGTCTATAAAGTCAAAGGTTTTATTGTGTGAAAAAAACAATTTTTTCCATATTAACTCCCCATTTAAAAAATTAAAGTAATATATGTTGCTCAACATGCAATGAAATACTGCTTATCAGCAGAATTCCATCTCTAAATCACATAAAACTACAAGCATTTCCAGAGGAACCTAATGAGTAAATATACATGTATAAAATAAAACAAAGTATTTTTTTAATTATGCAAAAAAAGCACATTAAAACAGATTTAAGAAGTTGTCGATTAAGAGGCCAAATAAAACATTATGAAACCAGCAGCAGTTACCAGAAAAAAATATTTGATTTTAATTGGCACAGGGCTGAATTCACGTACCTACTACAAGCAAATCAAAGGCTTCCGCTTTCCTCTTTGCAGCCTATTCTTTTTCAGCCAGTTAATTAATCCTGTGCACAGTCTGCTATGATTAAAGATGAGTGGCTTGATCTGAAAGCGTGCTGAGCCATCTGTAGCTCTTCATCTGAACAAGCCAAATGCAATAGTTTCCAAGTAAGGAGCTGAAGGTTGTGATTTGAGACCTCTGTAATCAGATCGATCTAGTCTCCAGGGGCTTTGCCTTCAACCTGCAGACCTCACCGCAACCACCTCTGATTCTTTGCAGCCACTTGGTTTGGACTGATTTGAGTCACTACAGTTCTCTCCACTTTTACAAACTAGTTGTTTTGTCAGCATGAGTGTGACAACAATTAGACGTCCCTGTTTTTGCCCCATGCCTTTTCTCCTTCACAGTCATTCAATGACAAGCGTAAAAAGAACTTCATCTTTTCACGAAAATTCCCATTCTACAAGAGCAAGGAGCAGAGTGAGCAGGAAACAAGTGATCCAGAACGTAAGTAACCTCTTGGAGACGATGTCACATGCAGCAGCACAAAAAATGGGTGACACGCATGATACCAGTATCCCACACATCTAGGCAAATATCTGTCGTAGGCAGGCAGGAGAGGTATTACTACTGTGACCAATGTGTGACTGCAGTTTGGATCCAGCTGGTCCTTCCACCCCTGGAAACATAACTTTCAGAAGAATAAAACAGTGACCTTAACTTTTGGAAGAGCAAATCTGGCTCCTCAAAGTTGTTGTGGCACCTGTCATAAATCCAAACTTCTCTCAGATTAAATATTCCCAGATCAGAACTGGCTCAAAATAATGCAAATGTGGTTTCTTTCACAATACTAAACTAAATTATTACTTTTTTAAAGATCTGCTATAATCTCTTTTTTGCCTTTGACATTCTCCAAGTTGATTGCCATGGGCAGCTTCACTGAAAGTTTAACGATTAAATGAAGCAACCATGCTAACAGCTTAAAGAAGTAAATCAGATCTTGGAATGTGTACCTCCCCGGGCATTTACTGCTTGCTTAAATTGTACAGAGAACCAGCACTATTGAAAATACGTGCTAGTTCCAAGCCCGAATATTCACTTTTTTTCGTAATAATTCTCTCCTAAATTTATCCGGTGAGGATCGTTTCTGGAACTTTATTTATCTGGTTGTTCCTTTCTCACAGCTCCAGAAGCCATGTATCGTGGTCACTGCCTCTTTCATTGGCTGCATTCCCATAGAATATGGGTCTAAAGTTGTTTCAGAAAGAAAAAGCAGGGATCCAGATTGCTCAATCAACATGGTCAGTCATGGTAGTATCCATTTCAACTCCACTGACTTCTTCCTTCCTCTTCTGCGGCTGTTCTTCCTTTCTCATTGCTCTCTCTGGGGACTTCCGTGCAGGACATCCCCGGATTAGGTGACGACGGTTATGGAACAAAGACTCTGAGTAAGTTCCCAGGAATGGTCACTGTAAATCTTTTTTTGTTTTGTTTTGTTTTGGCTTCTGTTCCTTCTCTGAGGACCCTCCACTCCTAGCATGCACAAGATAGAGTTTTATTTGTTACCCAGCTGTGAATGCATCAAAAATGTTTCGATCATTTTGTTCTGCATGACGATATTAAATAACATACAGTGTATCAAGCAGACACTTTCACTTCTTTTGTAATAACACTTTTTGTTTCTGACAGTATGTTATTGTTCCCATCATGGCAGTTCTGTAGAGTAGCATACCTAGAACTCGTTTTGCTGCCTAGACTGTTCTTTTCAGCAACAACCCCTCCCTCTCCATCTAAAGGGAAAGTTGAACATTTTAACCTGATCATATCCTGAGGAGATCAATAGACAATTATTTTATGCTGTTGCTTCTGCATTTTCAGCTTTTTGCATGGGAGTGTTTGTTACTTTGCTGGATTTTAGATTAGTATTTGTTATTAATGGAAGAAGTCATTTGCAGGCTAGAGAAGACCATGCCTTCTCCAAAGCTAATTTTGGACCCATTTCACCATTAGTAACCTATTCTCTGTTATGCTACCTTAATCAATTTCTTTTTCTGATGCAGCAATCCTGTCTCAAGACTTGGCATTGCAGAATGTGTAATGTGTCAGATATTTGTTCAGAAACAATTTTGCTTCCTTGAAAGTTAGACCAGAAAAAGTTGTATAGAATGAAATATTTGCAGCTGATTTCTATATAAATAGCAACCTTATATTCTGTATCCAGATCTAAATAATTTAAAGAAAATGCCACTTGCATGTGTTTGGCTGCTTCTTCCTCAGTTCTTATCCTTTCTCTTAAGCGCCAAGTAATTGGAGCAAAATGTGTGTGAATGCTAACACTGCATTGCCTACTGTTTTGTATGTGCTTTTTAATTGCAGGAATGCACATCCATGCACACAATTTTAGAGATTATTCCATTTCTGACTCATTTGTTGAAGGGACTTTTTAATGGTTTAACTTTAAGCCATACAGTGCCTCTCAATTTAAAGATGAAAGCTTCATCTCTTGTACAAAGAACAGTTCTGCAAGACTAGTTTTGCCAGTGATAGACAGCAAATGTCGCTGCCACCTGCCTTTTAACAATTCTGCTGCTTTAAGTGTCCTAGCAGCTCATTAGCAGCAAACGCAGATCCTTCCCTGCCTAAAGAGAAGTAGAACATTTACGATCTGATAACCCTCCTGAATATCTGTGTCCTTACAAAGGCAAATCTCCATAATGTCCAACCATTTGAAAGGAGATAACTGAATTCTGCAAATTGCTAAGGGAAAAGTGGCATAGAGGTATTATATAGGCTCTAGTTTCTCTATTAATACTGGACCTAGCTTTCAATTACTGACACACCTCTAGACATTCCCGCCCATCCAAATTTCGCTAATATTCGACTCAGATATGCCTTTTAAATGACAGTTCTTACTATGAAGGATATTTTTTTCATGTTTAATAAAGTTCTTCAGGGTCCTGTATAGCAGATCAGTTTGAAACAACCCTTGTTAACTTGCTAAGAAATGTCCAAAAGTCAATATACTGTTTTCTTCAAAATGTAAGTTTAATTCTTTAAAGCTTCTTACTAAGCCCAAGATCAAAGTTTTCCATTACTGTTTTTATCAGATATCATCACCTCTCATTTCTGCTGTTCCAGTAACCCAGTCAGGCCCACTCTATGAACCCTAAGCCATTAGATTGGTACGTGGGGGACAAGCAGCACCTTGCAGAGAAGAGGTGGTCTTGGCACTGTTCCCATAGTCATCTTTCATGACATCTATGCATGCTCTACTCTGGGTTCATCCCAGGGGATTCTTGGCTTTTATGAGTTCCTTCTTTCACTGGGAATGTTTAGAGGCAGTTGCAGGTGAGTGTTGTGGATCACCCGCAGCCTAATCTGCCCACTGGTTTAATGACAAATATTGGACAAATTTTGGCTCCTGGGGTTTGTCAGGAGGTGACTTATTTGTACCCATTTTCCATTTAACCACTGTGTCTTTCTCATTAAGCCAGTGTGGCTCCCAACTGTATAGCCATTATAGCATTGGCTTCTAAATGTCCTGGACCAGCTGAAAAGTTTCAACTGTCAAATGATCTTTCGGGTGCAAAGTAATCAGCATTTCTACCAGAGATAGTACTAAAACTAGCATTTAATGTGGTTCTGCAAACCTCCTGGAGACCATATAGCATGGTCTGACTGACTGTAAACAGTCTGCTGGCTACAGTTTGGGAACAGCAACTTCACATGATATAGGTTGCACCTTCCTTTAAATAATATGATAATAGAAACAGGACACCAGGCTTGCCAAACCACAAGCCTGATACCATCATGATAGTTAGTATATCCCTATTCACCCATCCAGACTGCTCTGGTAAAGGTTTTCATACTCCAGCTCGAATCCTGAGGCTAGACGATGTCTGAAAAAATATTTATTCCATTTATTTTCTTACTTTTGTCATTGGCTTTGTCTTCTCTTTTTGGACAGGGTAAAATAGTTACGGATACAATATTTGATATCAAGACCATTTTCATGTTAATTTTTAACCCTTTGGGATAGTGCAGGTGATTGAAGATGGACACAGGTTAGATGTTTAACAGGAATAGTTCCAATGCATTAATGATGCACGTTACTGATAGTACAGAATAATATGAGCAGACGGTCAGGTTTCATGAAATTACTCAAGACTTCCAGTGAGATGCAAGTGGACCATAATATAATTTGAAATTAAGTTATCTGAGATGTCATTAACTGTCTCATCAAGAAAAGACCTGGCTTTGCCATGACGCATATCACTAGCTAATACATACAGTCTCTTTCTGAAATGCTACAAGAGAGAAAGCTTTCATTTTACCTGTGTACTAAATTATCTGAGAGTTTTCAGGTGATGCCACTGCATAGTTTTTATTTCCTCTCTGCACAACTACCTTTGCATGACTGTGGCAGTTCTTTTAAGTTTCTGCAGCTTTGTGGTGCTTGGTTATGTTCTTTAATTTGCTGTACTGTTCTTGCAGAACATGTTTCTTCTAATGCCAGCGATAGTGAAAGTAGCTACAGTAAGTTACTGCTTTCATTAGAGTCCTTTTACTTTGCATTGCTTGTTCTGTTTGTTTCTTTTATTTTGTTTCTCTCCTTGCTACTCTTTTGTTAATGTTAAAAAGATGGTTGGAGCAAATGGCTTGGAATTCAAATTTACGACCACGTCTTGAGTACAAAGCTATAAAAGAAAACTGGCAACCTTTATAAGAGAAGGAAGGAAGGTTGTTATTTGGGATGTATTCTGGGACATAAACCCAAACCTGGCTCTGGGTAGCCTGTGAAGTCAAGATTATTTAGTTTAGTGACAAGAAGTTTATTTCAGCAGGGAGGGGCAGTTTCTTGATGATCTTTTAAGAGTAAAATTACTCCACAGCTCTAGTCAAATCTGCAAAAGACATCCTCTTTACAAGGTCACAATTTTTACTTGCATTTCTGCATGCCTGTATGAATGTATAAGAAATAGTCCCAAAAATCCTGTTGAGCCCTTAATTTTGGCAGTACACATTTCCTAATGCATATTGAAGTCTTCAAAAAAAGGTAAGATAGACCTTCAGCCCTTAGGCACTGACACTGAATGTCACTGATTCTCTGTAGGTAGAGGTCCCAACCCTGCAACCTGATTTGGTTAGAATTACAGACTCCATGTGGTCATATAGCTAAGAGGCAGATTGTACATTCTGGGTAATTATTAGTCATAGCCCAAAATTGAACCAATATAACTATTTTTTCTGGAAATGTTGAAAAGCAAAAAAAAAAAAAGGCATTAAATAAATGACTGGAAACGTAATAATAGGTAATTAAAATCATAGATTGCTTACTAAATCATCCAGTTGTTTAATTTTTTCAAGCCATTTGCTTAGCAAATCAAGTTTTCCACCAGTCACTCAGCACTTGTGCTAAGCACCCGCATACATTCAGGTAATCATTGGTATCATACCTCATATTTACTAGCCTTGATATAGTGCATAGCAGTTGAGCTCTGTTAATAAACACTGGTTTGTTTCAGTAAAACAGCTAATCTTATGCAATTCAGAAATGGTAAATTAGTTTGTATTCTCTTGTATTGCAAAGGTTTCCTTGGAAAGCAATTGCCAGAGTCACAAGAAAACAGTAGGTGCTCTTGAACTACCAAAATCCAATTCTGAACTGCTTTATTTTTAATGTGTCCTCTACTGAGGAGGAGAGGAGGATTTTATGTTTGAAATATAAGACGCTCTTTCCCCAGACTGACTTCACAATCAGGAATGAGTCAATAGGTTAAATTTTCAAAAGTTTGCATGAGTCAAATCCTCCAAGTGTGTTTGGAGTTGGTGAGCTCAGGGTGAAAGCCCAGAGGAGAATCTAGGCCGGTGGCGGAGCACATCCCATGCCTGATGAACTGTCCCAAACAGGAGACTTAACAGGGGTGCCCAGTTGCAGCTAAACATTTGGGTCAGATCCACAAAAGCTAGTTCCCAAATTTCCTCATAAGACAGGCCAGGTAGCCAGTTCCTCGATGCTGTGCAATAGCTTGAAACAAAGTGCATGTTTTGAGGTGCAAGAAAAGGGATAGAAATGGTTTGAGGAAGTTAGTTGGGACATAGATTCCTGGAAGGAAAAGTAGTGTCGGGGTAACAATTTCCCATGGTAGGCACTCTCCTTCTAGAGTGGTTTCCATCTGGGCAAGCTCCTGTCTCACCCCAGCAGCATCCAGCCTACATCCTGTTGGCTGGAGCTCCCCACACGTTTCTGGTACGTCCAACAACTGCTGCCTGGTGGAGAAGATGCAGGCAGCATCTTCCTCCTCTGCCCATGGGAGAGCTATGCCATTTAGCAGCAGAGGAAGCCAATCTTAGGTTATGCCAAATGAAAGTGGCTTTAAAATCCAGGACCTGGTGCCCAAAGGGCCTAATGCCATTTGCTAAGGATTCATTGGTCTGTGCTGACATGACATTTGAAGGCATGACCTTGGGCAACTAGCAACTTCAGTTACCAGCTGGAAATTACTGTTTCAGATGGCCACAATGGCATATCAACACTAACCTGACTGTGTGTTCCATTCCTACATGGCCATGGTATATCAGCATATCTCCTGTGGGGACTTAAAGCCCTCCTGAGTCCAGCTGCTTACTCTCTGGATCTCCAGGCTACCCTATGTCAACAGTACGTCCCATCGCATGTTCATTGCAGCAAATCTCCCCTAGAAAAATGATGACTCAGGAACAGAGAAGAACCAGACAGCGGAGGGTGAGAGGTGGGTGGTCAGAGAGAGCAGTCAACAAATTGTGAGGGCATGGAGATAAGAGAGATGAGGCCCGTCATGAAGAAGTTGTCTTATTTCACTGCAATTCTGACCCTCTGGGACTGTTGAGAGAGGACATTGCACAGTAGAAGCCTACCAATACCCCTCGTGGGAAAAGTAATTATCAGATCTAGTCTGTGAACATTTCCTAAAGATGTATTACTCACTGCCTTCTAATTTATTAATTCCTAATGAAAGGAAAAAAATAATAGGTGCTGAGGGTAAAGCTCATTCCTGGTAGAATAAGACAGCATGCAGTTATTATTTCTGCTCTTCTTGTTTGCATCTGGGTAGCTGGGAATGGGGCCCAACGTCAGTCACTGCCACAGAACCAAGTTTGTTTTAACTCCATTTGGAGCCAGCCATGTTGCAAAGCTGTTCTTCGGTGTGATGTAGTCCCACTTTGAGGAAAATTGTGTGTTCAAGGTGATGCACTACAAGTTATTTTACCAGGACACCATGTACGTTGACCTGCAAACTCATCTAGCCCTCAGTCTGTGCACTGGTGAAATGGGGCATACTAAGAGCAGGAAAAAAAGTGAAGCTGAAAAAATTCATGGGGAGCAAACAAAACTGCTGGAGAGCTCAGAGGTTTTGCATGGGGTTGTGACCCTGCCCCAGTGCCCCTTTTCTCTTCTGTTTCCCCAGCAAATGAGCAGGAAGAAAGGGACTGCCTGCCCCACTGCTTTTTGAATTGTGGGAAATTGGGGAAGAGTGGCTGGAAAGCTGCCTGGTGGAAAAGGACCTGGGGGTGTTGGTCAACAGCCAGCTGAATATGAGCCAGCAGTGTGCCCAGGTGGCCAAAAAGGCCAGTAGCATCCTGGCTTGTATCAGAAATGGTGTGGCCAGCAGGAGCAGGGAGGTGATCGTCCCCCTGTACTGGGCACTGGTGAGGCCGCACCTCGAGTCCTGTGTTCAGTTTTGGGCCCCTCACTACAAGAAAGACATTGAGGTGCTGGAGCATGTCCAGAGAAGGGCAACCAAGTTGGTGAAGGGTCTGGAGCACAAGTCTTATGAGGAGCGGCTGAGGGAGCTGGGGTTGTTCAGCCTGGAGAAAAGGAGGCTGAGGGGAGACCTTATCGCTCTCTACAACTACCTGAAAGGAGGTTGTAGTGAGGTGGGGGTCGGTCTCTTCTCCCAAGTAACAAGCGATAAGACAAGAGGAAACAGACTCAAGTTGCACCAGCGGAGGTTTAGATTGGATATTAGGAAAAATTTCTTCACCAAAAGGGTTATCAAGCATTGGAACAGGCTGCCCAGGGAAGTGGTGGAGTCACCATCCCTGGAGGTATTGAAAAGACATGTAGATGTGGTGCTTAGGGACATGGTTTAGTGGTGGACTTGGCAGTGTTAGGTTAATGGTTGGACTCGATGATCTTAAAGGTCTTTTCCAACCTAAATGATTCCATGATTCTGTTAAATCAGCAATTCATAACTTGGCCAGCACAAACAAAAGCGTGTGCGTAAGAAATGACTGGCAAGTGCCAAGTGTTTTCCTGCAGACGTTCGTATTTGTTCTTATAAAAACAGGCCAGTTGGGGTCCAGACTGAGGTGTTCTGCATTTTTTCTAGTGGGTCTCTGGCAATTGTTTTAACATGTTTCTCTAACTTTTGCTTCTCATGATGAGCATTTAGTGAAAAGTAGCTAGTGTCGAAACCTGTACTACTTGATCATTCCTAGAACCATTCCAAACCAGGTGTACAAGTACACAAAGTGATGTTGAAGGCTTCTGAGAGCTGTCCCTGGACAGTGATTAATAGAGGGGTTACAAATTGACTGGGTTTTTTCTAGGAGATATTCTGATGCATTCATATTTATTTATAAAAATATATTGCTTAAAAATTCGAGTATTTGGCTGAAGTATTGCTCATGTCTTGGGCTTGGGCATTAAAAAATCAACTTCTCAACAGAAATCAGATACTTATTATTATTTCAAAATAATGATATAATTGAAAGTCCTCCTATGTGGTCTCAAGAGAAAATTCTTTGACCATTTCTTAGCAACAAGGCTGTTGCAGATAGTAAACCTGATTTTTCCTGCCAGTGCTTTCAACATGGGGTTTGTAATAAGCAAAAGAGTTGGAGCCAACGGTGGGATTGTTTTTATCCCAACAGATAACCTTCACCTCCATTAACTTCAGGGGGAACCACAAACACATTTGACAGCAGAACCTGGCCCTTGATAAAAAAAAAATTGAAAGTATTTTTGAGCCAGGAACAAATGCTGGCCTGATCTAAAAGGGGCTGAGCTGCCACACAGCTGCTGCTGCATCACAGTGGCCATGCTAATATGAAGGCTACAACTATGTTAGTTGATTTGCACCTGTTCTCAACAGTAAAACCAATTTTGCAGAGTCGTATATAAAGTCCTGGTCTAGCAGAAAGTTGTTCTGTTTGTGATAAGGATACACACAGCCAACTTTGACTTATCCCTGAACCAGCTAATCAAACCATGATTGAAAGTTTATTTTGAGCTCTGTAACTTAAAATGTTCTGATTTCTTTTTCAAACCAAGCTTGTAAGAACATATTTTTTACCGTGGACTCATCAGTTTTTATTTTGTAAGACATGATTTTCACAATGGCCATGAATTTCAAGTCCCTCTATTGCATATGTGTTGTAGTGCTCTTACATGTAGTTCAGTAAAGGTTTTTACAGCTGTCATCAAAATTACATACACATTACCACATCTATTCAGCCTAATTGCATAACTGGTGGTGATTGCACCAATTACT